CAAGGGAATTATTAGTAAAACATGTAATAAATCAAACTTTTCGAATGAGAATCAAATTATTTAAATAACTAGGTTACACACATGAGATTTTCCATATTTATATCCGAATAAACTTACCTTTCGTTTACTTTTATGTTTAACTCGTCGTCGAGTAAAATTGCTTTTAATGCTTCAATTTCATCAGTTACTCTGTAAAAAATTCTTGTAAATATTAAGTTAAAGTGACTGTCTATGAAAAACATTCATTACAAATCTTATTGAAAATTACCTTTCATCTATTACCGTATCTGACATTGTTTCTAAAGCAAACAATACCGTGATGTAGTTTTTAAAAATTACTTCGAATGTGACAGCGAAGAGTTTTTCAGCCTTCAACAGTTACAAGATTTTCGATAAGCGTCAATATTGAAAGCCTTCTGCTGCCTTCTGCTACTATTACTGTTACCAACTGGCTCGAATTGAAATTATTAGTAACATATTATTGCATGTTATTATACCTGTCACCGAAATAATTCCACTAAAACAAATAATTTAGCGTCGCTCTTTCATCCTACAAGTAATAATTTGTATTATATAACTTTTGTTTACTGATTTTTCTCTGATGAAATTATATATGTATATTTACAATAACCTTGTGATGTGAACTCGGAAACTAGGTTTCCCTAGAAACTCTTAAAGCAAATGTGTGTGTATATATATATAAAAATTCGTTTGTCGTGTATTTTGTAGTAGTGGAAGTAGGAACAAATGTTACACAATAATAAACGTTAAAAGCTCACGTCACTTGTGCATCGTCACTGTAAAAACAGTGTAAATACATTTTTCTATACAATTCTCTTTTCTACAAACAAAAATATTCAGAAGAATTGATTTCAAACAAAAAGGAAGTATAATACATATCTTAAAAGATATAATATATGCTGCGAAATATATGATATACTACGGCGTCAATAATTAATTCATTCCCTCTACTGAAAGCTCTATATATACTCTATTGAATCTTTTTTTAGTGACATTGAATTCACATACTTCTAGGTGTACATATTATACATATAGAGAAATACAAATTTTAATTTTAAATAATTCCGTGTTTCAAATTTGTGAACAAATTTTTCCGACATCAATAATACATACATGTGTGTGAGATATTCATACCAGTCCATAATTGGCAACATACATACATATGTAAGTACATACATTATGTATGTAGTTACCAAAAGTTAGCAAAACAACAACGGTTTCACTAAATTCTCTGCCATTGTGAAGAAATTATTTTTTAAGTTTTATGAAATGAATATTTTATACTTACTGAACAGTTTAAAATACATACAATCCTGCAATGAATAGTGGATATAAAAATACATATGTACAAATGTATATATCTTATTGCGATAATCTTAGAACTTTCAATTAAAATAAGTACATTTATCAATTTTGGTCATCAATGAAATTCGAAGGAAGTATGAAAAATTAATAATTAGGACCTATTACTTGTTGAATATACTGTATCTTATTGTTAGGGTATTTTCGTTTTAATCCAAACATCTCTTGATAGAGGGCTACTATGTTGAACAGTATGTTCTATGTTTCTCGTTTATTGTCTCATTGTGTATTTTTCTTTTCACATTTAATTTCATTACCCGTGTGAAGCTGGCTCATCATATTAACCAATATTAATGAAAGAAGCAATGGGCAATTCAATTGCTCATAATTTTTCACCAATTAGTCTTAATTGCTCATTTATCTTTTTCGAGAAATATTCAAAAATAGGAGTAGAAATTGCTTTGCTCTGATTGGTTGACGGACTCCATGCTAAGACAGGATTCATTGAGGATTAGATGTTTGCAATGCAAAAGCTAAGGGAGGTAGAAAAATCGTACAAAATCTGAGATACATACATAGTACAGTATGTATGTAGTATTTCGTTGAGTTATTGTATACACTTAACCTTATTTAGTTAAATTGTAAGGTGTATGTGAAATTGCTACATACTACATGCTATTTTAACATGCCGGAGAATAAAGAAAAAGAAGAAGAAAAACCTGTTGTTGCAAAAAATGCAATTGATCTGCAACGATTAAAACTTCAAAAACTAATGAAAAATCCAGTAAGTATAAAGAATCCAAATGTATTTTTTCAGAACATGTTTTGCTTTTTCACAATTGTATTAGTTTTTCAAAATGCTTAAACAATTTCCTACATAGTTGATAAGCTTATAATAGGAAGGTAAGGGTTTTTATGGTTGTCACAATAGGAAAAGCCTATTATACTACCGGAAAGACCTAAAGCTAAAAGTACACCAACAGTACCAGAATTTGTACGTAATGTAATGGGAAGTAGTGCAGGAGCAGGAAGTGGAGAATTTCATGTATACAGACATTTAAGACGTAAAGAATATGCCAGACAAAAATTTATTCAGGAAAAGGGACGTAAGGTAATTTTAATTGTTGCATTAATACATATACATTTATACTTTTTTAATTGTATATATTATACAATTTCTAAAAGAATACAAAATGTCAATATTTTGGTATTTTATTAGGAACTTCTAGATGCTGAATACCATAAGAAATTAGAAGAAAATAAAAGAGCAGCTGAAGATATGACAGCCAAAAAAAGAGCAAAGAGACAGAAAAAAAAGCAGAAATGGAAGCAAAAGAAAAAGCTAAGAATAACAAATGATGAGTCGAATAAAAATAATGAAGACAGCAATTCAGAAGATGATAGTCCAGACACAGAAGATACAGATGACAAAAATGACGATGAACTTAAAGTTGCATCTAATAATGAAATTGAAAATAATACAGCTGCACAATCTGCATCAGAGATAAACAATTGTAAAAATGTAGATAACGACAATATAAATCAAAATAAGTTGCATTTACAAAATAATTCTAATACAAAAGATTCTAATTCTGAAATTATTGACAGTAATAACATATCAACCTCTGCATGTAAAATATTTGAAAATAATAATGAGAATGATATACGTAATAATACAGATAGTACAAATCCTTAACAATTATTGAGGTGTTTCAAATATATTCTGAAATATAAAAATAAAATATAAATACAAAGAAGTTCTATGATGTTATATATATACAATTTAAGTGATTATCATATACATATCTCTGTAAACAATTTGTATACTTTTTATGGTAAAGTAATTTACATTCTATTCAAATCTACAGAATTTATACTAACATACATTATATTTGTCTTACTTTAATAGTTTTCTATCATAATGCTGGGAGAGCTGCTTCTAAATTGTCATATCGTTTGGTTCTTTCAAAGATGCCTGCCAATGTGCCGGCAATTCGTCGATCTTGGAATGAAGAAGCACTTTTTTCATATTTCTCTAGTTGAGATTTCGCTTTTATTAAATCTCCAATTTTTTCAGGCACAATTGTTTCCTACAATATAATCATGAAAAATAATAGTATCCGTTCAAATCACTTCTTCTGTTGAATTAAAATAGTTAATAGTTATTGTTAATAAATCGTTGTACCTGAAATTGTTTCATATAGTTAGAAATGTCATCCACGTGGTCACCAATCTCAAACCAAAGATTTTGTAAATCAGACTCATAGGTGCAAGCAGCAACATGACTAAGGGTAAGGCACAACTATAAATAAATCGTTATCAATTAGTATAGATCAAGAAATTATATAATTATATACATAATAGTGATTTTAATTACTTGTTGAACAAGAGTATCACGATGTGGATACTCAGTATAGCTAGGCACATGTTGAGAATTTTCAAATGCTACAATAATACTCTTCCACACAGTTACAATGTATCTTCCATAAAAGTCACAAGCACATAGTGCCCATGCTGCATTTGAGCGTACTTTAAAATTTGGACTATGGCATATTAAATTACATAATGGAGGAAATACTGAGTCCTACTTAAACAACAAAATTGTATTACATAATTATAATGAAAAATAATAAAACAAAATTTTCATTAAATTAATAACTTACACGCCACGAATATGGTAGTATATTATCTGGATCGTTCCTTAAAACCAATCCTAGAGCACGACAAGCATTCCAACGTACCTACAAATTTATTGAATTTTATTGTTACTATTATATCCTTCATCAGAATTTTCTGAAAATGTATGAAATGTATGCCAAACTAATATAATATATAAGTATATGTATACAATAATGTAAGTTTTACTTACTTTCATATCATGTCCTGTAGTGGCACAATTTATAAGGGCCACCAGTCCTGAGAATGTATCGTTCAATATATGTTTTTTGGGACACACATTCAAAATAGTTCCAAGAGCTCGAACAGCATTGCATTTCACTTTATCACTATCTTTCGATGCTTTAAGGCTAATTTGATACAATTTTGGTAATAAAATTTCCAAAGGAAGAGGTTCTGCTTCATCATTTCTACATAGAAAGTTATATAAATAAACATAAAGAACAACTATTGAGTGCATAGTTTCTAAGGTAATCAAAGTTTCTGATTTTCTTTTGAATAAATAATGAATATGATTAAGAATAACATACTATGTAATAGTGTAAGTTTAAGATTGATATATACAGTGATGGCCGTATACAGTAAATTCTTCCTAATTGACGCTCAGATTGTGCACAAAAATAGACAATTTAGGTAGAGAGGATACGACTATTCGAGCCACCACAGCTAAAACCATAGTATTATATATATAAATTTAACCTTTCTTTGGAGAAACAATCACATAAATTAGCTAGTGCCCAAATTCCTTTAATGCGAACACCAAGATTGCTATCATCGGCATTTAAACAAATTACGTCGGCTAAATCCATTAAAAATCCAGTTTCTTCTTTCAATGGAGGAAGCGTGACCAACATTCCCAATGCTCTTAATGCTGCAGCTCTTACAGCACTTTCTTCATCATGCACTGCACCAAACAGTACTGTGATAATTAAAATAGTTTTTTTCCTCTAAAATATTTTTTTGTTAAAAGGAGTAGTACATAGGTATCGTGTTTTACATAATTCTTGTTTACATATATCAGGTCATTCGGAAAGTTCCGCGGTTTCTCACATCTACACAGAGTTTCGAAATAAACGTGTTTTTACGAAAGAGAAATTTTTCAATTACTCACGGGATGGCAAAAAGTCACCGAATAAAATGGAAATTATATTGTTTAGTAAAGTTCTGCATTATTTAAATATTATATTCTTGAATCTGTTTCTGTGAGAACCACAGGACATTCCGGATGATGTAATAGCTACTTACTGGTTGTTGAGTAAACACAATAGGACTAATGCTGCCTAAACAAGCGCATGCTACCTCTCTTAATATTGTCTGTGAATGTTGAAGAATTGATGTTACAGGTTCAAATATAATATTCCAGAATAATAAGGCATTACTGTTCTCTGAGTCATTTAGAAGACAACCGGCCATAATTTCTAAAGTACGACAAGCATGTAATATCACTTGTATTTCATAATCCTGTATAAGTGTAGCTAAAGTTGCTGTAATTAATTCCATATAGGGAAACACAAGACTTCGAGTATTAAAAGCCATTCTACCAAGTAGTTTCAGAGATTGAAGACGAACGGGAAGGCTCATCATCTGTAAATAAATGAATATTATACAATTGTTAAAATAGCATATTTTTTACTCTGCATATATTTTTTGTAACTTTAAATACAGGTATACCTTATTAGAAATGTTCTTTAAACAAACGTGAATCAAAAAGCACACGTTTGTTCCTTTTAACAATTTATTTTCATATCCAGAAGATTCATTGATTTTCAGATCTTCAATATCTACTTCTTCTCCTTCTTCTTCTCCTTCTGTATTGTCACTGTGTGAAGCATTCAAATGTATTTGCTCTGCTTCTGTATCTAACTTTGATTGTTTTGCAAGTATATTAAATATTTCTGGTGTTAGTGGATCACAGGAAGCAACAGCTTCAAAAGTCGATAGAGCTGCTACACAAATTGTCGCGTCTAAAATAATGTATTGAACTGAATGATTATTCTGCCATACTAATATGTACACAATACAATAATGTAATAGTACCTTTATGAAATATGTATGGGCTACAATTTCTCATTAATTTTGTAGCAAGTCCTGTTTTCAAACGTGCGTAAGGTGTACCTTGAATTAGTGCAGTAGAACATTTTAAAGCACTGGTTAAAACAGCTATATTTTTATCACTGCTTAACACCAAGGATAATGTGAAATGCAATTCTTTTATCATTGAACCCACTGTACCAAAAAAAGTTATAAAAGATGTATGATAGGTATCTTCTGCATGAACCAAAAAGGGTTTAGCGTCAATGAGTAATTCAGTGAGAGTGTTCAGCATACTTTGCTTCACTTTTGATATAGGTTCTTTCAAAATACATCTAGTTAGTACCCTTGCATCACTTTGAGATCCAGTAGCAACAATTTGTGGCCAAAATCCAAATATTTCACGGCTTTGTGAATTTTCGACAAGTACTTGCAATAAATGTATAGCTTCTAATCTAACTTTAGAGATTGCATACATAGAATTAGCACTTTCAGTGTCCGAAATATCAGAATCACTAGAATGCATACTAATATTTTTACATTCTGTTGTAATATTATTTTTCAGTTCTTTGCTAGTTTTCTTGATAGATTGCTTTTTTCCCTTTGTTTTATGATTCTTAAGATTTTTACATTTAGGAATAACATGAATTTGTTCGGGTAGATTCATAGCTGCTGGACGTAAACATTGTGGCATTACAAGTTCATATTCCTCAATACCATAAAATAAAAGTGCTTGCACTATTCCCAAAATTTCACCCATGAAGTCTATTGAATGTGGTAGCTGCTTATTGACTATTATGATATGAATTATACGTAAACATAAAGTTAAGTTCTAAAAATTTATTATAAAATTTAATTTAATAGATGATAATCAATAATAATTATACATTTTTTGCTATATTGCAGATTCATTACTTACTTTTGCATAATATAATTTACTATCATTTTTTCTTATCAATTGTAAAGAAGATGAAAGAATATTTAACACAATATTCTTGGTGGCAAATATAAATTCTTGTCTAATGTATCTCTCATTACATTTACTTGTTAAAAATGCTTCTAAGCAACTAAGAAGTAAATCATTTTTTAATAATTTCTCCTTTTCCAATAATATTTGGAAATACTAGAAAAGTAAATTACTTTACTTGTGAGATAATTGTAATTTGTTAAATTATTATGATGTAAAATAATATATTGTCTAATAAAAAAAGATGATACTTACATGATTTATATCATTAAAATCTATATTAATTAAAAAACACTTCATAACATTATTGACATCTTTACATATATCAGGTGAACCTGTCTCCGATATTACTGAAATCCACTGCATAACACTTGCAATTGTCTGATACTGGAGTTTTACATTGTTTTGGATCACATTGACTAAAAGTTTGGATGTACTTGTTATTAAATCTATTTCCATAGGTGTCGCAATTATACATAATTGTTTAATTAACAACTGCAATCGCTAAAACATTGAAATGAAGTAAAACAATCGTATGTCTATAACAATTTGAAGAATTGAATAGCGATTATAAAAAAATAGAGTGATAAGATATTAACTTACATCACTATTAGAACTAGTAACAAATCTATAATCGAGTTTATTAAGATCACAAAGATAATTGTTGATTAACTTTATTTCATTATGTTTCCCATTGAGCAATATATGCAACTTTTCTGTAATAAAATCGAAATTGGATGTGAAATTTAAATAATCGGTATGCGATGATGCCATAATGATGGTTTAACAATAATCCAGTACGTATGTAGTACAATAGGTACTGAAGTACATGTAAGAATTTGGTCAGAAAGTATTTTGGTATTTTGTTTACAGTAGTATATCAGTTAGACACTACAGCTAAAACCATAGACGAGATATAAGAATAGATTTAACATTATTGGGATTTTATGATCCAACTGCCTTAACATCTGTGAAAATGTACAAGAGTGTGAGTTTTTTAGACATTACATGTGCGCATTCGGAAATTTCACAGAATTTCTATTAACATATGTAATTTTAACGAAAGTAGAATATTAATTAAAGATTTGTAAGAAATAACTAACTTATATAATAAATATATGTATATATCAGAAAATATTTATGCTCATGCATCTATCAAAATATATTTTTATAGTGTTATATTTCATAAACATAAAGTATATATGTTCGTATCTTTTAAAATGTCCAGTTGTTTCCCGTGAAACAAACGATATCACCGAGTTGTGCGGCACGATGGTGGCGGTTCGCAGCGAGTACAACAAATACTCGGAAATTGTTGCGCGTAATTCAAATCATAGTATTTTATAGATTAATACAATTATCTTCTACGGATTCGTATACTGCTCTATATAGTCTAAAGTTTTCATTTAATTCTTTCATTTCTTATTTCCATTGCAATATGTATCCGGCAATTAGATAATGTGCGAGATAAATGTGAAATCTTCAACGAATCTGGATTCAGAGTATTTTGCAGAATGTGAAAATTAGAAATGATTAACAGGATAAGGATGTGTAACAATTTCATTATGTAAGATATTTTAAATTGTACAAAGCTTCATTACATAATATTCAGTAAATAAAATAAACATTATTGCTTGTATATATATAATATTTGTAAAACCACAAACTATACAAGGTTTTGTAAATAAAGCTATATTACAATAAAATTTTGTATTTCTATTCATACAAAGTTTGTATCGAGAATGTGGTCAAGGAATTTGAAGATTTTAAACTTAACGTAAATTCAAATCATGGAAACATTCGTACACGTGTTTTATTTTCATGTCATCAGCAACCACAAAAGTACAATCCTGAGAAAATAATATTTTAATCGAGTGTTGGGACGTAACAAAAGCATCTATTATACAATATTTATAAAAAAAATTCACAGGAAAAAGAAGTGTAAAACTCTAGTGTAATGTATAAAAAGTCTCGTTACTCTCTGGAAAATAAAAAGTTAGAAATGTTTCCTAAAAATATGGTAAGTGACACTTTCTCTAATTTTTCTACCTTAATTAAAATAATTAACAATGAAACACATACATACAGCACATCAAAACATATAATTCAGAATTAACTTTCATATATCTTATTCTTAATTAACATTTAGCTTCTGTAACCTGGAGCTAACAGCGCTGCTTATTTGTTCTTTGTCTGCATCGCTTATTTTTGCACTCAGTACCGAGGATTGACCTAATCTTGTGCATGCTTTCTTGTGCATGAACCAATGCAATCTTTGACATTCTCTGTCGCAATATTTTACTGTTTTACATTTGCTGCATTTTTTACTAGCCTTATCCTCACCGCATGTAACGCAAACTTGTGCGTTGTCAAAAAACGCTCTCTGTCCATTAATTGCTGCAGATACTACTGATACAGCGGATGGTGGATCAGGAGCGGCAAGAGTCGCTACCATTTGACGAAAAATGGTACTTTCTCTATATGGAAACTCTCTTACAGTATCTCGTAAGAAAGCTTCTTGATATTCTGGTGTACCATCACTTTTGCTACACTTTAAGAATTTCTTTATTAAACCCTCTATAGTATCTAACTTTTTTTCTTCTCCATCGTCACTTATTTTCTCAATTCTTTCTCCTTTCATTGCACCTTGCCTCTTTTGGAATTTGATTACTTCAGCCACAACACAACTTAGATAATGATATTTAAAAGCCATTACTTCATTAGTTTCTGCTCCTCTAGTCATTACCTTATGACGCATAGACTCTAATACCTTTTGTACCTAAAAAGGGGAAGATAAGCATAGCGTTGTAGAAAAATTTACATTCTAACAGTAAATTATATATTTTTCACCTTGGCAGCATTTTCTAACAGGCCCGGGCATGTTTGGAGATTCATAACTACTCTAACAGGATGTACATTGACCTCCATAATAAATTTATGAAAAGAATCTGCCAGGTGAGGCGGAAGCATTGATTCAGTCTGTAATCCTTGTGGTTTAATGTAGTAATCTATGTCAGCCTTTGGAATAAAATTATTAATAGTTGCTACACAATTGTGATTGCCCACAAAAGCAGCCATCTGAGCTGGAGTCCGTCCTACACTGTTCGTAGCTGTTAGTCTTGCTCCGTAAGACATTAATAAATGACATAGTTCAGCATTTCCACTTAAAGCTGCAAAATGAAGGGCTGTATATTCATGCTCATGTTGGCAAGCATTTACATCTGCACCCTGAAATGTACAAATTATTTGATATAAACTACAATTTTCTATATTTTCTAAACATATAAGACTTTTACATTTTTATATTTTATATTTTGAATAATATTTAGGTCAAGGAACTGAAATGAT